AGCACAACTTCAGGGATACATTAAAGAAAAAAGGCATAGTTCCTGCACATTTTCAACTTGGCCTCCTTGCACATCCTGCCTATTTATAGTATCCAGCTAATGTTTGGGTTTATACAACTGAAGTTAACTACAATATATTCAGAAGATGATTTTGTGTCTCGGGATTACCAGCATACACCAGCTGGAGCTAAAACCTAAAGCTGCGGTGGGTAGAGTCAGTTTATCTTCTTCAGAAAGTATGATCCTCAGCAGACAGGGGGCCCAAAGAGCAGCACTGCGGAGAAGGACTCGGAGGTGTTGGCTGACGAGAAAAAGAACATGAGCAGGCTTCAGTGTGCGCTCACAGCCCAGAAAGCCAACCATATCCTGGGCTGCATCAAAAGGAGCGTGACCAGCAGGTCAAAGGAGGTGATCCTGCCCCTCTACTCTGCTCTTGTGAGACCTCACTTGGAGTATTGTGTGCAGTTCTGGTGTCCTCAGTGTGAAAAGGGCATGGAACTGTTGGAACAAGTCCAGAGGAGGGCCATGAGGATGACAAGGGGACTGGAGCACCTCCCGTATGAAGACAGGCTGAGAAAGTTGGGGCTGTTCAGCCTGGAGAAGAGAAGGCTGTGTGGAGACCTCATAGCAGCCTTCCAGTATCTGAAGGGGGCCTATAAGGATGTTGGGGAGGGACTCTTCATTAGGGACTGTAGTGACAGGACAAGGGGTAACGGGTTAAAACTTAAACAGGGGAAGTTTAGATTGGATATAAGGAGGAAATTTTTTCCTGTTAGGGTGTTGAGGCACTGGAATGGGTTGCCCAGGGAGGTTGTGAATGCTCCATCCCTGGCAGTGTTCAAGACCAGGCTGGATGAAGCCTTGGGTGGCATGGTCTAGTGTAAGGTGTCCCTGCCCATGGCAGGGGGGTTTGGAACTAGATGTTCTTAAGGTCTTTTCCAACCCTAACTTTTCTATGATTCTATGATTCTCTGATTCTATAAAACAAAGTCATATACCCAAATGCTAAACCTCTGTAAAACTGACCACCTCATAAGAGGAGGCCTGATTCTGAAGTGCCTCCATTCTCCTCTGTATCTTTACACTGCCCATTAAGGACTTGCATTTTTTTGCTAGCTTACATATGCAATGCCTGTGATTATTTTTAAAGTTAAGTAAAAATTCTGTTAATTTCAAAAATCTTTACACAGTCCTTCCTTATAAAATCTTTCTATGGACCCTGTGGTTCACAGACTATGGTTTAAAAGTCACTGCTGCAGACTGTTTGATTTAACTCTGCAAAGCTGAATACAATTTTTTAGGGGAATTTCCAGCTTTGCAGGAAAATAAATTCTGAAGAACCCTATTTCTAAGAGAAACTACAGCAGCTTTGCCTTTCTAACTGTGGAAAGCTAAAATCTTCTAGGGGTTTCAGTTTCTCAGACAGCTCAACCCAGATAATTGAACTTGTCTCAAAGACCCTGTAGTAATCAGGATTTACCTCGATATTTTCTGATATACATGATATCAAATGTAAAAGGAGAAAAATAAATGGTGTTAGAGATTCAACCTTTGCATTATATGACCTCTTGGAAGACTTTCATATTCATGTATGTCTGCCCACTTGATATTCTACATGATACACATGCACACCTAATCATACCTAAAATGGACAGCATTACGGTTAAGGAGGCACTCCAAGAGTTTGGAAGTACCAGAAGTCAGGTTTCACCCTTTGCTCCCACATTAAAGTCAGAGCTAAGATTACACAATCATGTCAGAGTTCTTGCTTCTAATACCTGTTTTCTCTTCCCTCTATTTCCTTTCACCTCTGTTTCCCCATGCAAACCTCATTCTTTTTCATCTGCTGAAACCAACATCCAGCTCTTGTCTTTCCATCCAACATCAAATACCCTGTGCTCTCCTTGGCTGTTTCTGCTCTCACTGTTTCTGTCACCATCCATCTATTCACTCCTCATTCACTTTCCACACCCCAAGTTCTTTCAGTTTTCTTTGTCCTGGTCCCCACAGTCTCCAGCAATGCTTCATCTTCCCTCCTCTTTGGCCAGATAATCCCAGACCTCACCTCACCCATGTCAGCTTCCATAGCCAGTCTCCTGGCATGGCAAGTCCTTCCTCCATCCACATCCTGGTTCAGTCTCTGCTCTTGTGTCTTTCTCCAGGCTCTTCTTACCAGCTTTTCTCCTGGCTGGTTTCGCTCTCTCAGCAACCACACCATCTTCCTCCTGCTCTCTACCCACCTGTTGTCAGGAAAACCAACCAGAGCAGAGAAGGGAGGCTTCCTTCTCACTCTGCCTTTTTACACCACCTTATCCCAGTGTCTTTTCCCAACCTCCTGGCTAAGCAGGTATTGTGGGAAAAGTCTGCCTTTTCCCCCATGGCCTCTGATCTGCTCAGACAGCAGGATCTGTGCTCCCGGTGGAACATGGGACCTGGAGGATGGTGGGATACCTTTGGTTATTTGGTAAGGGGTGTGCACTGAAAATCCAGACATGCACAGGAGGAATTGGACCATAATCAGGTTTCTGCTAATAAAAGAGACTTCATTAAATTAGTGTGATTTTTAGGAGGATTACAACATGGTCATGTGTTCTTCAAGGTCATAAAAGAGCATTCCCAACCCAGAAAATGCATTTCCAAATTCCATTTTTTTCCCCTTAGCCATAAACATGCTAAGGCTTCTCAGAAGAAATTCCAGAATATTTTTAACAGGGATAATACAGTGGACTTTCCTTGTTTTGCATTCTAAAATGGTATGACTACTTTGGCTGGATTTTTCTAAAAGAGAGTTTACAAGGTTCTGGCCAGAGAGGTCAAAGATGAGTCAGAATTACAAAGGAATGAAGCCAGGGTGGCATACTAGGAGATGGTGGACTACCTCAGAAGTGCCCTAAACAGCTGTCCTACCTCTCAGATCCAGCTAACACAAGTCAGAAACGTTGTTACTGCCCAAGATCTCCAAGAGGAGCCTACATTTGGCGCCTCACCACTGCTCTAGTTTTAAAGTAGTTACCGTGTTTACTACAGAACTTAAAAGCTGTTAAGAGACATCAAATGATGACAGCTCTTCACAGCAGCTACCCTGTGCTGGACCTCAATAGCAGACCTTTTGAGGCTCTGTGCACTTGGCAATGGTAGCTTGCTAACAGTAGAGTTCCACTCACAGAGTTTGTTTCGTGGTCCTTTGTAAATACAGACATTCATTTGGCATTCAAGGCACACAAAAAAAAGCCAGTGTAGTTTATGCCTATACTGTGAAATGACTCTGGTCTCAAAGAAGGGATTTCAGGCACAGGAACTATTTGGCTTAGGTTTAGGCATTCACCATCTCAACATGTGGACAACACTGTTCCCAATACAATGCACCTACAGTGTAGTAAGCATGCATGCTCACTTATGAGTAAGTGCCCTTGATCTCCTGAGCCGCCACAGAGAATTTGGCTCTCTTGCAGTAATTCAGAAAGTAGGGGAATGCTGGCTGTATTTAGTTACAGGTTTTTGAGAGTTTGAAACATTTTGTTATTTGGTCATAATTTACTGCAGAGAAAAGGTGGTGGAATAGTTTCTGTGGAGTCTGAAGATCTTTATTTAATTACAAAATAGATACAACGTAGAGAAAAAACAAACTACCTTTTAAGCACCTGCACCAGGATACCTCCCATAATAAAATGGAAACCATCAGTATGAGGAGTCAGGCCACATGAACAACAAATTCATTAAAAAGTATACATTTTGTGCTCTACTGAAACCACCACCAGTTTCTTCTAAGCAGGGAAAGAAGCATGTGCATTTGCCTCTGATTTTAACAACAGGAGCACTGGGACTCCTTGGAAAAGTCATTTTATTTCTTTATCCCAGTTATTATTCAAAATGGGATGAGACTAGCCCATTTTTTTCTAAAATGTTCTGAGCCTTACTGAAATCTTGGTGCAGAAAGGCAAAACATGATTGTATTGCCTACCTTCTTCTCCCCTTTCCCCTTTTCTTTTGTTAGTTTGTGGTTGTTTTTTCTTTCTCATTGTTGGTTGTCCCAGTTCTTTCATTGAGGTTATGAATACAGTCATCAGATAGTAAGTCATAGGTTTCAGGATTCACTCATGTAAACGTGACCATGCTTAAAGACAGTTTTGCATCACCCTTTCACAATGATGCCCCTCTAAAAATTGACTTCAGTGGCAGTTATGCACACAGCTTCCCACACAATTCATTGAATCCCCTAGAGTCCTCTTTTTTGATTGGTTTCCTGGACTCTTCTCCTCACAAATAATTTTTTCCTATAGTTAATGTCAACCAATGTACTGTGGAAAATTTCTATGATCTAACTCTCTCCATGTGTCTCCTTCTGAATGAGTTAGTGATCCAACAGAGTGGTTTTCAATGCATATGCCATCCTTTTCCAGCGGATGGATCTTGCTCTCTGACAATGTTGCTGAGCATCCTCTGCACCTTACTGGATTCATTGCTACACTAGAGTACATTTTTGGACTTCAGAAAGCATGTTTAAGACTGTTCTATGTATTGTGGACAAACTTCCCTTAAGGAAAACTTCAGAAAAATTGAAGACACTTTTTTCCCCAGTGGAACTACAAGGTAAGTTCTATGTATGCACTAATGAAAATCCTTAATTAGCAACAAAATATTGGAATGTCCTCTCTTGCCATGACTATGCATGCATGAGCATGTTAGAGGCAGGAAGGATTTGTGTGGATTAATGCCATTAGAACTACACTTTACGAGATCTGGATCACTCAAACAGAAAACTAGGGCATAACAAAAGGGAAAAGTATCTCAACTTGTAACTTAAGTTTTCCAGTACTTATACAAATTTTCAATTTTGTCACTGGAGGAGTGAAGAAGACCAACTCTGATACTCTTCACCTGTGCTCAGGAACTTATTCTTGCCCTCTTTCATCCTCATAGCTGGAAGGATATGGAAACACACAAGCACATCAGAGTAAATCACTGAATCCTCTTTCTTGCTAGGCAGCCAGGGATGAAGGATGGGGAAGTGCCAAGGTCTCTGCACTGTCTGGAAGCTCTGCAGTCACCGCTGAGACCAGAAGTGGCATGACAAGCAGTACAAGAAGGCGCACTTGGGCACGACGCAGAAGGTCAACCCCTTTGGTGGCACCTCACACACCAAGGGCATGGTCCTGGAGAAAGTTAGCGTAGAAGCTAAACAGCCCAACTCTGCCATCAGGAAGTGTGTTAGAGTCCAGCTGATCAAGAACGGCAAAAAAATAACTGCTTTTGTTCCGAACAATGGGTGTCTAAACTTCATTGAGGAGAATGACAAAGTTCTGGTTGCTGAATTCGGCCAGAAGGGTCATACTGTTGGTGACATTCCTGGAGTTCACTTCAAGGTTTTCAAAGTAGCCAGTGTGTTTTGTCCTTGGCCTTGTACAAGAGCAAGGAGAGACCAAGATCATAAATTTCAATTCATTTGTCAAGAAGGTCAATAAAGCTTTTGATTGGGAAAAAAAAAAAGGAGAAGAGATTCAGAGCAGCCCTGCAGAGAAAGACTTGGGGGTGTTGATCAAAGAGAAAAAGAACATGAGCCGGCAGTGTGCTCTCACAGCCCAGAAAGCCAACCGTATCCTGGGCTGCATCAAAAGGAGTGTGACCAGCAGGTCAAAGGAGGTGATCCTGCCCCTCCACTATACTCTCATGAGACCTCACTCAGAGTATTGTGTGCAGTTCTGGTGTCCTCAGTGTAAAAAGGGCATGGAAGTGTTGGAACAAGTCCAGAGGAGGGCCACGAGGATGATCAGGGGACTGGAGCACCTCCCGTATGAAGACAGGCTGAGGAAGTTGGGGCTGTTCAGCCTGGAGAAGAGAAGGCTGCATGGAGACCTCATAGCAGCCTTCCAGTATCTGAAGGGGGCCTATAGGGATGCTGGAGAGGGACTCTTCATTAGAGACTGTAGTGATAGGACAAGGGGTAACGGGTTAAAACTTAAAACAGGGGAAGTTTAGATTGGATATACGGAGGAAATTCTTTCCTGTTAGGGTGGTGAGGCACTGGAATGGGTTGCCCAGGGAGGTTGTGAATGCTCCATCCCTGGAGGTGTTCAAGGCCAGGTTGGACAGAGCCTTGGGTGGCATGGTCTAGTGTGAGGTGTCCCTGCCCATGGCAGGGGGTTTGGAACTAGATGTTCTTAAGGTCCTTTCCAACCCTAACTATTCTCTGATTCTATGATTCTATGAATACAGCTAAACTCTGGTCCAAGTAAGACCAATTCTTTTCCCAATAAAAGAAACAGTGACTGTATACCAATTTGTCAGTGGTTCAGTCCTGCAACCAGATCAACTCTCAGTGTGAAATGCAAGCTGCCAGAAGGTTCCTCTAATCCAGGCTGGGGCTCATAGGAGTGGTGACCGACCAACATGAGGACTGGGTAACCAATTCCTCAGTCAAGCTTTTAAACATGTCTGCTTTTGCAATTCTGAGATAAAACAAGGAAGATGCAGTGCTTTGCTGGACCCACTTAAAGTGTCTGCAGTTTTCAATGGGAGCAGGCAAGATAGTGCCTGTAAACTGATTTTTAACTTTCTACCTTTTGCATCACTCCAGTTCCTGTTCTAGTAATAACCAAAAGAGAATTACCAGGAAAGCACACAGATTTAATAATTTTTTCTAAAGACAAAATTGGTTTATCATGTTTTTGGGTGTGAGTCTTCTCATTGTGTATTGATGATATTCCACTCACACGTATGAAATCACAAGAGGTGAAGGAAAAATCTCTTTGTAACTCTCTAACTATAATGAGAAGCTAGCTTAAATGTTCCTTGGGTTGACAGGCTTCTTGTACAGTCTCAAGCAGTTTGAGTCTAATACAGCAGCATGAGTCTCGTGACTGCTTACAAGCAATAAATAAGCAAGGTTTGCATGGTCTCCTTGACCACAGAGGGGCTTTTCACATACATGAGTGCTTGGTATAGAAAGCACTAATCATGGATAGGTCTTATGTGTTTGTTGGATATAGAATCTATCAGTCACACACAGAAACAGTGTGATAGTGCACAGACTCTGCAAAGCAGTTATACTCCTGGGAAGAACAGGATTAGAACCACCACCAGCAGCTGGGAAGATCTGAAAGTTCACCTCTCAGTCCAACTGGGCAGCACAGGACAACATCACTGGCAGTAGCTGGATTAACAGTCACTTCCAAGTGATATGCTGTGGGGAACTGCACCAGTATAAAAACTTAAAAAAAAAAATTGATCTTTTTAAGTGTGAAAGATCCAGAGAAGCTGTTCTTTAAAAAGCCTCTTCTTAAGTAGCCTAGCTGTTGTGCAACGGCTGCAGGAAGCTCCTTACAGGACAGAGTAGATTTGTTTATACTTGAAACACCAAATCATGAAATAAGATACAGAAAATGCTATCTATGCTAATGAAATGCAGCTGACAGCCACCGATTCTTCTCAGTTTTTTCTTTTCCTTTTTGACGTTGCAGTTACTCTCACATCAGGACTCTGCAGGGCTAAGCAGATCCAGAGCTCTCAGCCTTGCTCAGTTTCAGAGGCTCACTATTGGCAGGAGAACGAAAACTTTAAATAAATATATCACAATCACTATGACTGTATTCGAGTTATTCAGATAATGATAAGATGACATGGGGTAAATACTTGGAGTTGAGAGCAGCTCTAAAGACAGATGATCTGTCATTTATATTTAATCCATTTAAGAGACATTTTTATCAAACAAAGATCAACCCACTGGGATCATTAATAGTTACATTTATAAAAAAAGCCAGCAGCCAGAGACCAACAGAGACAGACATAACAAGAGTTAGTCTCACAGTCCAAAATCACCAGTAAATTTAGAACACACTTACATGAACATTTTGCTGGGCATGTTATTATTTAAACAGCATTGTAGTAAGAACATATGCTTGTGTAATGAAAAACAACTACAAGGATCTAACTAAAATTCTCTGGAAAAAAGACCTCAGGAAAATGTGAAGCTCATCCTAGGTGGTTTTAAGCCAGTAAGAGGAAAGGGAACTCAATGGCAAGTCTCCTGAAGCTGGAAAAGAACAGCCTGTGATCTTGTCTTACTTGTCAGAGCCTAGGTAGGATTGTGCGGAACAATCTACAGTGGTATATACAAAGTATGTTAGATATCGTGAAAGGAATGCTTGCCTGGGTGCACTATAAACACCCTGCAGAGCTTTTGTTGATGTTAGCATCAACATTATAAGCTACCCCTGGGACCTCTGCAAACTCATCAGACAGGCTGGGGCTGCACTCGCCCGCTCAACCTCTGTCTCACGTGCACAGGCAAACTCAGCTTGTCTGAGGCTGGCTCTTCATCCAGCTGGCAAAAAAGTATCAGTAGCTAGCACATAAACCGGGGGTTGATCTCACACTGGATTCTTGGGAGTCATCCTGCACTGCACCAGTGTTTTCCCCTCTGCCTCTAGATAGGGCCAGCAAGAATGAGGAAGATACCACAGTAGATGGGCTACAGAGTTAGAACAAAAGTGAACACCTCAGGCACATCCAAACAGTAAAATCGAAATGTAAATTTTCTCTGATGCTGTTTTCAACATCAGATTAATTTGTTTATGGAAATTTTCTTTAACACCCAGACTTCTGCTTTTTTGTTTTGTTGGCCTTGGACAGGCAGGGGGAGGGATGCTCTAGGGCTATATTGAACTGCCCTTAATCAGGCAAACTTTCCATTAAGTTCACTGGTAGTTTTGCCTGCATAAAATACATTCCCAAGGGCATCTTGGAGTTAGACTGCATTTGACTTGTTTCCAACACAATTCCTCTTCCAATCTATAGTGACCTGTCTCTTCTTTGTGTACAGAGGTGTTTCAGTCCCACCATCTGATGCTCTTCCCTTTCATTCCCGTTCTCCAGAACTGTCCCAGCAGCCTTCAGATTTATAAGCTGTACATATAAGGTGAGCAGGCTTATAGCTTCAGAGCTTCTGGCATGAGGTACAAAGTAATAGCAACAAAAACACTGACATATGCAGCTGTTTCTTTAAATAAGGGAAGGCCAAGCAAGGTGACCGCTGCCAGCCAAGTCTGAATGCATAAAGAGAACCACTTCCAGAAAGAGGGCTCACAAAGTTCTTGAAAGTGGGACCACCTCAGAGATGAAGTTAGTCCCTTCCCCTCCCCCAGTCTTCTCTGACCTGCTTCAAACTTGAGTAAATCAGTTTTTCCAAGCCCTTCACCCCCTCCCTTCCCTTCAGCAGCCTGATTTTTCTATGTGAGCATTTTGGCAGATCTCAGAACAGTTTTACTTATTCATTTAATAGACACAAATAATGGTTCTGTTTCACCAACTAATTATTTCACCAGTCTCACAGATGCATGCCTTTCCTGCATGCTCATCGAAGAGGAATCCAGTGCCCACACAAGCAACAATAATAATCTGATTTAAAATCTGGTGCATTCTGACTCCTTACCCTCAACAGGTTTTGCTCTATGGATTTTTAAAAGAAAATTTATAAAACCCCAAAAGGTAAAAAGTAGCCCAATTTCTGCAGGACTCAGCATGCAGGACATAAATGAAGAGAACCACTGGAGGTCACTGTGACAGAAAAGGAGAATGAGTCAGATGAAAGCAAGACCTCCAATGCACAAGTCACCCGTCTGAGGTGGTGGTGGTGGTGGTGTTGGGGGCTCAAAGGGTGAGAGAAGAGACTGCATCTCCAGTCTGACTTTACTGGAATTTGGAGGCACTGGCTGCAGAAGCAAGGCAGGAGACGAGGCTTGTGTCCACATCAAAAGCTTGACTTCTGACCAGGTTTCCCTCCAAAGAATCTCTAACTTTTATCTCCTGTATGTGTTTACTGTCTTCAATCTGACTGTGAAGCGTCCTGCCCTGCTCAGTCTCCCAGCTCTGCCCCACACTGAATAGGAGCTTTTGTAGAACACAAAGTTACGCTCTATCTGACATATATATAATGGCATTTTGCTTTCAGAAACGCTGTTTTTCCCAGCACCAAGGGAACATCAACCAAAAGCTGCAGATGCTTCGCCTCTGCCCCAGCTGGCAGAGGGCTTTTGCGCCCCAGTCCTGTACACAGCACATGGGACTCATTCCTGAAAGGAGAATCACACACTGGTTACAGCACCACTGGCTCTCCAACCTATTTCCAAGAACTGCATAGCTTGAAATCCTTATTTGCTTTATTAATGCATGTGTAGGAGGGAGGGAAGGAAGCGTGGTGGGGGCGAGGGCGACAAGGCAAGAAACATCATGCCTTTCAAATGTAGGGGGTCATTTTCTGCTTTTTCCACCCTCCCCTTGCCAGCTGTTAAATCCCACGCTTCTCCAGGGATGCCTGCTGCCTGTGTGACAGAGGTATGTGCAGCAATCATCACTTGCAGTGGCTGAAATCACTTGGATGGACCCACAGAAGAAGAGGTTTGCAAGTTCATTTGGAATAGGAATCAAAGAAGCTATACAAGTTGGAGGGGT